TACAGAGTATTCCCAGGGAAGTCTCTGTAGGGCATTAAAATGAGTCCTTTCCTCAATATACATGAAATCTAGGTGGGAACAAAGACTAACCTGTGACTGCAATTCAGACTGGAAATTCGTCACAGTGAAGGACCAGGTGCTGGATCGGCTGGGTGAGACGCCAAAGTGCCTGTTTGGGATAAGGCTTGGGCAGGAGGGAGCAGAGTGAGAATGGCCGGCCGGGGCGGGAAGCAGAGGGCTCACGGTCTATATCTGTCAGCCCAGCTTCATGCCTCCTTCTTGGGAGCCCAGGGATGCCCCACAGATGCCCCAGTAGGGAGACATCCAGAACAAGCAAATGTGAGGTTTGCATGTGACCTGTAAACCTTGGGTTACCAGGTGTAACATTTGACCCTCTGGAAATTAGAACTTGCTCTGAACATGCAAATGTCACTTTGTGCCATCCATTATGGTAACATTAGGCTATTAACCATACAAAATGTTTATGGGGCATCGACGAAAAAGGTCTCTAATTTTTAAGTAAGTAGAATTAAATTTTTACCCTGTACATTTATTATTTAACAGGTGATTTTTACCTGAATTTTATCCCAGTATACATGTACTTCTTATTTGGTCTCAGTCAATTTGTATACTGGAGAGACAGTGCAGCTGAGGACACCTTGCATCTCATATACAGAGTCAGAGTTGGGGTGAACAGAGTGATTCTGTGCGTGCTGTAGACTACAGCCTACAAACTGCATCAGCCAAAAAATGCTTTACTCAAGGCTAGGGACACACAGAGGACTTTCCCCTCACTGATACCTTTTTAGATTACACCTGCTGTTCCGCGTGAGAACTGAGGAATTCCAGCAGGGGGCGCGCTTCCCTGCAAGTGGATTGCGTGATCCCTCACCTGCCAACTCTGAGCTTGTCTTGTCTAAATAACTGCACACGGTCTCTCCATTTGTGGCTAACAGGACCTAGGTTACTTATATAGGAAGGTCGCTAATTCTCTGATGATGCCGAGTATTTGATAATATGACCTGTCGGGATTGCTTTCCTGTGAACTTTGCAGTGAGGACAGACCCAGGAGCCCACACAGGTCCTCGGGAATCCAGTGGCGCCGCTCAGTTTCTCCCTGGGTTCACACTGACACCCCGACCTCATCACCTTTCACACTCAGCCACAGGTAACTGTAAACAATTTGTATTTGTTTGGCTAGTTGCCTGCTGTCTTCACGTCCCTCTGTCCTCTCCCAGTAGGTTTAAATCCCCATCTTCCGAAAAAAGAAAGAAAATCAGTCTCATAAGATACCGTTGTTGTCCACAGGTATTGGTCTGAAGGTAACCCCAGTGTTTGGGATTTCAGGAATCCTCTTTCCTTCCTCAGAGCCGCGTCACACAGAGGCTTGCAGCATCCTGAAACGTGAATATCAATTCTCAGTCAGCGCTCTGAGGCCAGCATGGCCACCCACTGTCTCAGGGAATCATCGGCAGGGAAGGGGAGGGAAGTGGACTAGGAAGTTGGGACAGAGGGTGCCCAGATATTGTCCTCCGGAGAATATGTCAAGATGGCTCATCCTGACAGACCCAGGACACAGCACATTCCTCAGCACTCACAGGAAATGAGCTCACAGCCCATGAAGGACGCGCGGGAATCTTCATTCTGCTGGAAGACGCCAGTCTGAGAAGGCCACTCACCATGTAATGATCTGAGGGACCTTCAGGGAAAGGTACTTGTGGGACAGTAATGACATCAGTGATGTCAGGGCTAAGGGGGTTCCCAGGTGTGACAGGGAGGAATCTGAGGGCAGGAGACTGCTGTGGGGTACTGAGGGTGGACACTCGCCACTGTCAGTTTGTCCAAAACTCCAGAGTACAAACCCCCAAGAGTGAGCTCTCTTCTAACCTATGGATTTGGGGCTCATCCACCTATGTTTTCTCTGGGGAGCCAAAAGCAGAAAGAAAGGGAGACTCTTTCTGTGGAGGAGGTATTATAGGAATCCTTACTTTTGTTATGGGAACCTATTTATGCTCCAAAATATTGTTTACCAAGAAAGTCTTGGCTTTAACTGTGTCCTGTGTTGTTCCTACCAGATCTCATCACCAGCTAACTCCATTGTGATCATGTCTGTTATCACTAAATCGGCAGAGTCGTGATTAGGTCTCTGTGATAGAATGAGGAGAGAGTTGTGCTATCGAGAACCCTCATGCTCCTTCTAGACCTTGAAGTCTTCAAGGCGATTGTGTCCGAGAAGAGTTCCAGCAGCTACAGCACCACAAGGAGCAGTGCAGGCTCCCAGGCCACACGTCAGCTCCCTGGTGGCTTTTGTTCAGGCCTGTGTCACTATGGAGGGTGAAGTCAACCACTGACAGGAATCACTGGCAGCATCGTCAGGCCCAGGCTGCTGGTGGTGAGCCTGAAATCTGTCCCAGACCTGCTGCTGCTGAAGCAGGCTGGGATGCCATAGAGCCTGCTGTTTGCATATTTGATGAGGATCCTGGGAGCCTGCTCAGGTAACAGGCCATGTAACTGCTGCCAACACTATGACTGACCCTGCAGGAGATCGTGGCCTTTTCTCCTGGAGACAATGATAGGGAGGCTCGAGACTGTGTCAGGACAATTTCTCCAGAGGAACCTTAAGCAGAAAACAAAACAAGTAAGTCACACTTGTAATTTCTGTCCTCACCACTGTCTCCCCAGCACAAACAGGAAGGCTGATCAGCACTGAGCTCCCATTATTGTCTCACTGTGCAATGAGCCAGGTCCCGGGAATCCACCACCCAAAGTGTCCTCTGAGGGCAGCACCCTCTCGGGTCCCTCACCTGGGAGCCAGAGCAGCAGGAGGCAGAGAAACTGCGCTGGGGCTTCCATGGTGCCTGTGTCCTGACTGAGGCAGCTCTTGCCCAGAGCCTGCCCAGCCTGATATGTGCCCTGGGCAGCAGGGGGCTGGGGCATGCAAAGCAGGAGTGGGCACAGGGGCCTCTAGCTGCAGAGGCCTCATGTTCTCTGCACTTGAGCAGCCACCCGCACGTCACAACCCAGTCACACAGGTAGTGTCTGCTCTAGGCAGCATGAAAACCAAATCCTTTCATTTGTTACTTACTGGAAAATTGAATTTTCTTTGATAATGCAAATGTCACATCTGTGCTGTCCTATCTAATAGCATTGGACTCTTCGCCATGTAATATATACAGCCGCTGAAGACTCAAGTTTCTAATTTTAAGTAAGTAGAATTAAAAAATGTAGAGCCTGATAGTTATTACCTAACAGGTCAGTTTCATTGCAATTTCATCGCAGTATCTGTATACTTCTTACTGGGTGTCATTAAAATTGGTATGATCTGAGAGGTGTCCAGTTGAGTAACACTTTGCATCTCTTACACTGAGTTTCCCACACCCATAGTGACCCGTGACATGGCAGGTTCTGAGCCAGCTCACCTGGGAGCTCCCACTGCCCATTTGTGGGACATCAATCAGTCCCATCAGGCTCTTTCCTCAGTTTCCATAATGTGGAAATAATCGTAGCTCCATGATTCTGTGGGATCTCGGGTGTTTCATCCACAGGCAGGGCCCGGGGCTCTTTCACTCACAGGGCCCCAAGTCCCAGAAGCCAAGTTGGGGGATCTGAGCTCAGGCCCAGACATAACCTCAGGACCTACCCATGGACACGGCATTTCCTCCTGGGCCTTTATCAAACACTTTCTATAAAAGCTTTGGCCTTCCCAAGTTATATACTGTCCTTTGGTTTTGATTTTCATTCAAATTTTAGATAGTTTCATTTTTCCTCTCCTGTTGGGGACCGAGGCCAGCATCTGGAGTCTGTCAGCAGCCATAAAAAGGTGAAATGGAGTCCGGATAGAGAAAAACATCCGGGTTGCAAAAGGCATGTGGGAAGAACTCCCTGCCCCCACCTTTTCCTTTTCCTCTTTCTTTTCTCACCTACTTTCACCCCTCGTGAGACCAACTGCCACCAAAACATGTTGCATTTCTATTGGCCTTCTCCCTTCCTGGCATCCCTCTCCTCCTGTATAAAGCTGAGATAAAACCCAATAAAGAGCTCTTTCTTTGTTCTGCTACACGCATATGACTGCTTCCTTAGTTCGCCGGACCTGGGACCCCCACTCTCCGTCCTTGCTGGTCAAGGTCCCCGCACTCTCCTGCTTAGGAAAGCTGTCAGAATCCATAAGAATTATTGCCATTTATTTGGGATGTTCCATTACAGTGCTTTAAAACTTTTCATTGTATAATTTTCAATGTCAGTAAGAATAGTGTGTTTATGTTAACATTTTATAAAAAGGGATGATTTATGAAATCATAGATCACGAAATAATGTGAGTGGTGACCAAGTTTCTAATAAGCTGTGCTAGAATAACCACAGGAATGGGGTAGATGACAGCAGAATGAAAACCCAGTTTCTTTTATATTCGGTGATTATGGTTAGAGCCTCTTCCCCTTATACACATACACAGTGGCCTTGATACGATGGGTCCGAGTCCTTCAGCCGAGTCCTTCAGCCTCACCTAACACCCTTCCATTATAGCGTCACCCCAATAGAGGGGTCTGAGCCCACCCAGCAGCCAGCCTGTATCACAGCCACAGGTGAGCTCAGGCTTCTCAGAGCAACAAGCTCGCTCACCCCCACCATCTGCGTCTCCTAGTCTCACAGTCTTTAAACGTTTAAAGGTCAGAGTTTACATCCCAGTGTGATTTCTATGAAATAAACCCTGGCAGGGCTCCTGGGCGGGGCTTTTGTGCTCTATGAGCCCAGCTGATGCCATTGCCAGGCGCCCAGGTACGGGCCTCTCTGTGTGTACTAAAACCGAGGGGCTCTGCTGTGGGTGCTGCTAACACTGAGGGGTGGAGACTGAGGGGTTCAAGGAGCTTCTTTGCCCCGTCACCCAAACTTTACAGCATCTGCAAAGCATTGCTGCTTCTGCCACAGGCTGTCAGCTGAGGGGGCACCAGGAGGAGCAGCTGGGCTGTCAGGCCTCAGACATCTGCTCCCTGTGTGGTTTTTGTTCAGGCCTGTGTCAGTGTGGGAGGACTACTCTGATACTGCTGACAGTGGTAAGTGGCAGCATCCTCAGGCTCCAGGCTTCTGATGGTGAGCGTGAAGTCTGTCCCAGACCCGCTGCCACTGAAGCGGGCTGGGATGCCATCGGGCCTCCTGTTTGCCCAATAGATGAGGAGCCTGGGAGACTGTCCAGGTTTCTGCTGGTACCAGTGTAAATTGTTATTAACATTCTAACTGGCCTTGCAGGAGATCGTGGCCTTTTCTCCTGGAGACAATGATAGTGAGGCTGGAGAATGTGTCAGGACTATTTCTCCAGAGGAGCCTGAAATTGGAAATAAAACACTCAAGTCATCATTATTATCTCTAGTCTCACCACTGTCTTCTCAGCACAACCAGGGAGTCTGATCATCACTGAGCTCCCATTAATGTCTTGCTGATCAAAGAGCCAGGTCGCTGGAATCCATCGCCCAACGTGTCCTCTGAGGGCAGCACCCTCCCGGGTCCCTCACTTGGGAGCCAGAACAGCAGGAGGCAGAGAAGCTGCGCTGGGGCTTCCATGGTGCCTGTGTCCTGGCTGAGGCAGCTCTTGCCCAGAGCCTGCCCAGCCTGATATGGGCCCTGGACAGCAGGGAGCTGGGGGCATGCAAAGCAGGGGTGGGCACCCTGGCCTGCAGCTGCAGAGATCAGAGGCCTCATGTTCTCTGCACTTGAGCAGCCACACGCATGTCACAACCGAGAACACAGGGGGTGTCTGGTCCAGGCCTGAACAAAATATATGACCTTGTCCACCAGGCTGTGTGGACAACTCTCTTTTTTCATGACTGGGTCAGGTTGGGTGAAGGAGTTTATCAGCAAGGACTCTGGATTTGCTTCATCCTCTGTGTGAAGCATGAGACACACACTGAGTAGGGTCAGCAGTGTGGGTGTGGGGGTGTCACCATTGCCCCGATGAGAGGACCAGGCCTGGCCCCTGAGTACTGACACCATGTCCCTGAAGCATTGGTGGGGGGAGGGGGTGTAGGAGGAGGGGTACTGAGAGACCAGGGGTGGGGTGGTGAGGGTAGTGTCCCGCAGGGTGACCCTGCCTTCCCCAAGCCTCCCCCTCTCCACATTCTGCACGGGGCCTCCAGACCACCAGACCCAGCTCCCTGGTCTTAAAAAGTTGAGAAACTTCTGTTCACAGGCCTGATGGGGATGTGATCCCACTGGAGGTTTCCTTGTGATTCTCAGAATTGTGCACATGTCGGGGTGGCTGCAGACCCCAGAAACTCTTCCGCAGTGGACTGAGGTCCTCCGTGGGTCATGGGCTCTGGCTCAAATTCCATTTCTCTAAAGCTGCTGCTTCCTAATGCAGGGAGAATCTTCTGTTTCCCCTTCCTTGATCTCCATGGTGATGAGACCAACTTGCTACACACTGCCATGGCCAGTCAGCCCTCCACACGCATTCAGGGGTGAGAGCCTCCCCCGGCCATCGCGGCTGGGGACCGTGCAGGTCCCACAGTCGATGATGGGGAGACCACTGCTGGCTGTGTGACATCTCACCACGCTCCTTGTCTCACCTTCAGTGTTTCTGGAAATAATCGTAGCGCCGCGACTCTGTACAGTCTGGGGTACAGATGTGTTTCTGCCGCAGGCAGGGCCTCGTGCTGCCTCCACTAACGGGGTCACAAGTCCCAAGTCTCACTGAGTGACCTGAGCTCAGCCCCCCAGGAACTGCAGACTTCACCCCGCATTTTCCCTGGGCCCATAATCAATGCTTTCCTGGGAAAGGCTTCACCACTCTCGTGTCACATTGTTTTCCTTCTTGTATAATTCTTTTTCAGCTTTTTACATCTAAGTCATAACTTAGAATCCATGAGAATCATCACCATGGGATTGGCCCTGTTCACTATATTG